ATTCCACGTCGAGTTGTTCCCAATTTGGAGAATGTTTCGCATTTCTTGTCGCGGATGGTGCACGAAACAACATGAAAGCGATTTCCAGATTTTTTGGGCATCGGTGAATCGATTGTACCGTTTTGTTAATAATAATTTATTTCGTTGGTTGCACGGTTGCCAGCGGATCCGATCGTTCCTTTGTTCTTTCGAATGACACTCGTTTTATGAACGGTGGCTGTGTCCTCGCGGATCTGTCAAAAGATTCCTTTCTATCGAAATGAAATTACGCAATGACAGCTTTTATCGCCGGAACGGAAAGATATTTCCGACAGCGGGAGTTACTTATTTTATGGTAATGACGGAACACATCCGAATGGGCGTGCTAAATACGTTTTCGTGCAGCCTGAAAATAGATGATCCATTTTTCAAAGTCACTTACACCAAAAGCGGACCGTGCCACGTCCAATTCATCGATTAATAAAAAAACAGTCCATCAAATATTTCCGCGCGAGCGAAGGATCTATTTCAATCTACAGCTTCCACTGACACTTCTATATTTATCACGGACAAAACCACTTGTTCACGCGGTGTATTAAAAACAGCGTCGAAGCACCTCTCTTGCGGGCGACATCCGTGTTCCATTACCTTTTTTTTTTTACGTTTATTACCGGTCGAAAACCTATGCGAATAAACGCACCGGGATTGCGAACGGCCAAACGTGCACGTTAACTGAAAATATTTCGCTTCGCTCAACAATTCGATTGCAGGTACACCGATCCACGAAAGTAACAATGCGCGGGAATGAATTCGTCTCGATTCTGTTCTGTTAGTCGTTCAACGATCGCGCGCACAAGTAATTTCGAGGTTTTAGTAGTCAAGATTTTTTACAAAATTGTTTGCGACGTTTCGTATTATTTGTAATAGAATATGCGAATAACGATTTTATTGAGAGAAGCTGTCGAAGAATTTCCGATTCAGTTTTACGACTGCTTCTAAAAAAAATATTTATAAAATGATTTCAATTGGTTCTTGAGTAGAGTATCTGCGCGCGTGTACAGTAATTTCTCCCTAATTCGCGCTAAGATTGCGCAGAAAAATGGACAATTTGGGAAAAGAAGATACGATTATTCCAGCCTTGCTTCAAGCCTTTTTATAGTTACCGATTTTCAACAAATATAAAAACGATTCGCATGGCTCGAATAATCGTATCTCCTTTTCCCAAACAGTCCATTTTTGCGCGCAATCTGTGCGCAAATTAGGGAGAATTTATTTTAAAAAAACTAGTCGAAGAATTTCCAATTCAGTTTTGCGACTACTTATGAAAATTATCTACAAAATGATTTCAAATGGTTTTTAAATAAAGTATTTGCGCGCTGCGTAATTTGAATTATTATCATCATCGATAGAATTTCGGTTCATGATTCATTGGTGAAACGCAACAACGATGGACATTCTTTGAGCGTAAAAGCCGGAATGTTCTACTGACCACTCCCAATCCTGGTTTACACTGTATGGAGGTCATGTTATACACGTGGTGGGGTTGGCTAGGAATACTCTGTTATATGTTCCTGCGGCTTAATGAAAGCATTAATTCCGAGAAATACTGTTCTCCGTAGAATCGATCGGACGCAAATATTGAAGTAAAACGTTTAAAGCTAATAGACAGAAAACGAGTAATCCTCCGTCATTAAATTGGCAAGTTCTAAACCATCTACGTCGTGTTCGTATCACCAACTATAATGGCTTTCAAACACGTTCCACAATTTCAGTTGTCGACTCTCCGTCTGCATACTGAGTTGTTCTCGATTTCATTTTGTCGGCGAAAATAAGGTTGTAGGCAATGTGTGACGACGATTTTATAATTATATTATATTATATTTATATCATATTATATTATATTATTATATAATTATATTATATTATATTATATTATATTATATTATATTATATTATATTATATTATATTATATTATATTATATTATATTATATTATATTATATTATATTATATT